AGGTGAGACAGATCACTTCTTAAGCCTGGTCTTAACATGTCATTTGTGATCGGATCACTACCTGCAGCAGCAACCAAGATGGCTATATATATTGTAATGCTTTGATCATCTCCTTAGGCATCTTGTTGAACTTGGTTGCATCAAGCCCTTATGTGACCTTCTGACGCTGATGGATTCAAAGATCGTACAGGTGGCCCTAAATGGCTTGGAGAACATCCTACGGCTGGGTGAGCTGGAAGCTAAACGAGGAGGAGGAATCAACCCCTACTGCGCGCTCATTGAGGAGGCATATGGTATGTTAGCCATCACACTTTGGATGTGTTTTTTTCCATCTTTATATGGATTCATTTTATGAATCATTTTTAAACCTGAAGCTTTAACACCAAAGTATACTTCAGTTTTGATGTCAACACGCATACTATGCTGATGAAGAAATGTACGTCATGTGAACTGTATACATACTTTGAGCTTTAAAAGATTAATTGACCCAAAAATTAAAATTCTGTCATTAATTACTCACCTTCATGTCGTTCCAAACCCATAAGACCTTCGTTCATCTTCGGAACACAAATTAAGATATTTTTGATGAAATCTGAGAGCTTTCTGACCCCCGATAGACTGCAACATCATAACCACTTTCAAGGCCCAGAAAGGTAGTAAAGACATCGTTAAAATAGTCCACGACTACAGTGGTTCAACCTTTGTTATGAAGCGACGAGAACTTTTTGTGCAAAAAAAAAAAAAAAAAAAACCACTTTATTCAACAAAATTCTTCTCTTCCATGTGATTCTCCTACGGTGTTCACGTAGTGTAACACAGTGTAGCGCTTCCGGGTTCTACGTCAGAACGCCGGCTCATTATTGGCCAGCTCTTCAACTGAGCCGGTGTTCTGACGTATCGTTCTATTGAATAGGGGGGAAGAAAGCGTTTTCCATATTTTTTGTCCTTAACTGATCAAATACCTGTAATTGGTCTCTCGGGTCTTCAGATGCTTCATTAAATCCCAAACTTTCAACAATAAATCATTTTTAATGTTGAGCAGTGTAAATCTTATTGTCATTAATGATGAAAACTTGATTTTAGGAGATCAGATTTTCACAAGAATTTTCATGTTTGGTTTAAATTTTGTTGTTCATATTAATATATAAAAGGTTTGAATAAATATTGTTTTATTTTTTGCATCTCCTTGTGAAATTACTTTAAAATTAAATATGACCAGACCAGACATATGATAAAAAAAAAGACAAACTGTGATACAATTTTTATATTGCTTTCCATCAGGGTTGGACAAACTGGAGTTCCTACAGGGTCATGAGAACCAGGAGATCTACCAAAAGGCTTTTGACCTGATCGAACGCTACTTCAGCACAGATGATGAAGATCCGGCTCTGGCACCTGCTGTTGACCTCCAGCAGCAGCAGTTCCTTTTCCAGCAGTGTGAGGCTCCCATGGAGGGTTTCCAACTTTAACACTTCCACTCACTCCCTTATTCTCCAAGCAATCCACCCTGTAGGGTGAGAGACGCCCCACTGACCCAACAGAGCGAAGGATTTAACAAATGAACATTTCAATTAGAGTGTGATATACAAGAGCGTGTGTTGCCGGTCAACCCATTTCCCTCCTCTTGTCCTTCTTCCCTGATGTCATTGGCCCGATCCGGAACGATGGCGACATGCAGAAAACATGACCAGTAGACATTTACATATGACTAAAATAACCCACTTCCTTCATTAAATTTTCATTCAGCCCTTCAAAGCACGCGTATCCCATCAGTCCCGATTCAGGAAAACTGCATCCAGCGATGAGTTGATAGAAGCTGGAAAAGCACAGCTTGTGTGACGTGACTGCAATATTGACTTTTCATCTATTGTAAAACACTGGACTGACCATGTGACTGTGTTTGCATGTCTCCAAACCCCCTCCCCCCTCCTCCCTCCAAAAAAAAAGTGACGGGCAATGTACGCCGAAGGACGTCTGCTGAAGGCAAGGCACTTTTACCTTCCCATTTGACCCAGACAACTCAACGACGGACTAAGGGGTCCGGGCTTTCTGACCGAAAATCCCAGTCAGACAGTCTTTTGCTTTTTGACACACATTGAACATTCCGACAATGACTGAACTGTACAGGCTCCGCCTCTCCTTTTAGGGTTACACATTTGCACCTTTGAAATTCTGGGAGTTGGAGTCTTCCTGCTCACTGAGACTGCTGGACAGACATAAAGACAGGTCCTGTATCATGTGCATTAAAACCATTTGATACTTCAAGGACAATTTCACATGAGCATCATCTTCATCAGCACTTTACGTTCAGAACAGACCCTTTGTTTAGATTCGGACATCTGTAGTCAGTTTTAGTCCCTCGAAACGCTTCTCAGGATATCAAGGTGAAGAGGAATGGTCCCGTATCTGCATTACGGGATTCATTTACAGTAAACACTAAGTATTTAAGAGTGCTGAGAAAACTACCCCTTCAAAGCTTCCACCATATTTTAACAAGCTGTTGAAAAAAGGCTTTAGCTTTCCGATGTTTGTGAGACAAACTTTAATATTAATGTCTAATCATGGTGAATGCGCACACACATTCAGACACAACATATGTGACTAGAACTATATAAGACAAAATACAGAGCAGAAAGTTGTTCAGTACTGTTTGGTTTTCTGTTTTATCTTATTGTATTTTTGTGAGGGTTAGAATCTCTTGATACCGAAGGTGCCATAATCCTCATTTTAAAAAATGGAGGTGGAAAATGACAAACAAATGGACTTTAAAGAAGACTAAAAACTTATCGACACATTTAAACTTAAAATTCAATGGGTATTAGCTCAAGATATGATTGTTTACTTTGTTTTTCTTATTTCATTGTCAGATTCTTCCCAAGAGATGACCAGCTCTTTGTTCAATACTGCTGTTGTATTGAGATTGTGTAACTGTTCTCTGTTACGCCATTTGCATAAATGCTGTTTCATGAATCTCAGTGGTCACGTGATTTAATTGAAATATGTTGGTACTTTAGGAAACTCATTCATCATTGCTTCATTCACAAAAGGCCCAGTCATTACATCAGGGATGTGATTTTTCTCATATTTACAAGAATTTCCGTGTTTTATGACCCACGTGAATTGCGTAATTCCGAGAAAGAAATGGTTGGGTTGAGGCCTGATTACTGTATGATGATCGAAATCGCAAAATGGCCTTAAACAATTACTAAATAAACTGCAAAATGTTACGCTTTCTAATAAAGTTATTTAATGCACAAAAACAAGCCCTACAGGAGCTCGCGGCGCCATCTGCAGGACACCCCGCATGTTAGCCAGGGTTCAAAACGCCAAATGCGTGTAAAAATGGTGTTACTCGCCAATTTCCTGGTGACTTTACGAATTTTAACAGTGCATGGTTGTTAGAATATGATCCTACGGCTGGGTGATCCTATCTTAGTGCGATCATCAAATCGCAATGGTTGTGATCTAATTATAAAAATATAAAGTGCTGCGTGTTTCAGAGTAAAGCACAGCACTGTGTTCACTTTAAGTTACAGTAAATGCTACTCTGCAAGTGCTGTGTGTTTTAGTCGCTTATAATTTGCATTTGAGAGCTGAACATGCCAACCATCTTCCCAAATTCATAATGAGAATCGTTTTTAAATCTGTCAACAGAGAGAAGCGTTTAGGTCTACAATTGGATTTCCGCCACAATAAAAAAGCAAAATGGTTTAACTTTTTAAATGAAGACAACCATAAATGTTAGTATTGTAATTTTACTGTTCTGTAAAATTGAATAAAAATGGGTTGGGTGTCAGGCTTTCCTTTAGCTGATGTTTTTCTCAGCTACTATCAACTTATTTTTTGACCATCTACTCATTGTTTTTCTATATAATTTAGGGATATTGTGAGCAAACACTTCAGATTGGTTATTTTAATCAAGTCCAGTCCAGATAATAAACATGACCATTCATGTAGGGATGCACCAATATTAAAATGGTGATTGTGATCATGTTAAAAGATTAGTTCACTTTAAAAAATTTTTTTGCTGATAATTTACTCACCCCCATGTCATCCAAGATGTCCATGTCTTTTTTTCTTCAGTCGAAAAGAAATTAATGTTTTTGATGAAAACATTCCTGGATTTTTCTCCATATAATGCACTTTGCTGGGCACCAAACGGTTCAAGGTCTAAATGACCGTTTCAGTGCAGCTTCAAAGGGCTTTAAACGATACCAGACGATGAATAAGGGTCTTATCTAGCGAAACGATCGGTCATTTCAAAAAAAAAAAAAAAAATTAAAGTTTTATAGGCACAAATGCTCGCCTTGCGAACTCTCCTGTTCGAACTCGTTCATCAAAATGAACGAGTCAATGACTCGAAAAAAGATTCGTTAATTTTGATGAACGAGTCAATGACTCGAAAAAAGATTCGTTCATTTTGATGAACGAGTTCGAACAGGAGAGTTCGCAAGGCGAGCATTTGTGCCTATAACACTTTAACTTTTTTATTTATTTTTGAAATGACCGATCGTTTCGCTAGATAAGACCCTTATTCATCGTCTGGTATCGTTTAAAGCCCTTTGAAGCTGCACTGAAACGGTCATTTAGACCTTGAACCGTTTGGTGCCCAGCAAAGTGCATTATATGGAGAAAAATCCAGGAATGTTTTCATCAAAAACATTAATTTCTTTTCGACTGAAGAAAGAAAGACATGGACATCTTGGATGACATGGGGGTGAGTAAATTATCAGCAAAAGTTTTTTTAAAAGTGAACTAATCCTTTAACATTTGTTTAGCAGATGCTTTTATCCAAAGCAACTTCCATTGCATTCATTAATCTGAATAGAAAAATTGGAAATATCCAATATGGACAGATACTGATAAATTCATTTCTAATATCGGCTGATATATCTGTACCTTCATGTCATGTAATTCTGGCATTATTACTATTAAATATTAGCTACAAAAACAAAAGACATTCACAATGAGACTAAAGATAGGTGTAAAGCAAATAAACATCAGTGGACCAGTATTTTATTTTTTGCTTAATATATACAAAAATCACACAGAGGACATCTCATCTTTATTTTATACACTACTCAAGAAGTCGTGGAGGAACATCTGTACCACCTCTACTAGAGTTCCCATGGGGTGTGGCATGTGATATTTGGAAAAACTGGATGGTGAATGATGGGCTTTGGGAGCTCGAATGAAGGCATATCACTGGGCTTTCTCTGCAAGTGCAGCGGCCTCCTTCTCCTTCTGTGCATCCTCTCTCAATCGAGCCTTCTTCTCCATGTTACGAGCGGTCAGATTGTCATGCCGACCTACCGCCTGTCATAGAAGACATTTATTAAAGGATTTTATATTACACAATCTAAGACGGCATTTCATTTATACACTGTTTTATTACCTGTTTGCCAGAGATAACCATACCGAGGCACGCCAGTATGGTCAGTGCCATCATGACATAGCAGGCCTTCACACGCACTCTGTTCCTGGCAGCATCAATCATCTCAAAACTGAAAACAGCACAGTATTTTCATAAGTATAGGCATTAGCATAAAATAGTACACCCACAAAGATAAGTGAAGTCCTACTGTATAATGCTGTGATTTTACAAAGAGAAACAATGTAAGATTAGAGCAGGGCATATTTACAGATTTTCTTATTTGATTCAAATGCTAATACCCCAAAAAACTTTATTTATTTTTGAATGAATCGTTTAAAAAAGGGGTCATTCATTTTGCTGACATCTGGGCTGTATGTTTTTGATTCACTAAAAAGAACAAGTTCAAGAGTCATTTCTTTTTGAATCGGGCTTCACTGATTTCGTTGTATGTTTTATGTTTTTCATAAAATGGGGTACATCAACTTTCTGGTTACCGACGTTCTTCAAAATCTCTTTTTTTGTGTTTAGCAGAAGACAGAAATTCATACAGGTTTGAAACAACTTGAGGGTGAGTAAATGATGACAGAATTTTCATTTTAAAGTGAACTATTCCTTTAACAATAACCACACAGAGAAACGATATTGTTTGAATCACTATCAAAACTTTTTTTCCCCAGCTGATGAACGATAAAACCTTGACAGCCAATCATTTAAAGCGGCGGATGACATCACTGCAGCGCGCACTTATAATAAACAGAGCGCTATCATCCATTGGTGTGTGGACGCTAATATAGTTAAGGTATTAGTTATCTCTTTATAGTGATCGTTCTTGGTGTGAACAAGCCTTTACATATACATTCTCTCACAAAGCTACTGAAAATAGTCATACACTAAAAAAGATTGATCTTGGGATTTTAAGAATCGGGATAAAAAGAAATATCACGATTAATCATTAAATCGTTATATTCACCAATCCCTAGTGAAAAGCAACTGTATGTATGGAAGGTCACAAAGGACGTGCCTGTTCTGTTTTGCATCTAACCATCACAAACAGAGTCCACTCTGATCTCCCTCCAGATACCATGAATTACACTAATTACCTGTCATTACACTGGGAGTAAATCTCATTTAAACCTTACAGTAGACAGCTCTTGTGTTCCACCAATAAGCTGGCACATGACCTCCTTAACCAACTACACGTTCAGTTAAGTAGCATGCCTGAAACTGGGGGTTTCTTCGAATGTAAAGAAGAATAGCCCACTTACGACACAAACTCGGGAATCTGCTCTGCGGTTTTGAATCGCCCGGACCACATCAGCATCTTCTTATCCCATTCTTTTGGGCGGTAGCCTGGCACTTTAAACCCAAGCCGTTGAGCTAAAGGCAACACCGAGAGATGAGAAAGGTGTTAGTGAGGAGAAGTTGGTCTGTTGGGGAAAAAGATTAAATTCCCTCTAGTATAATCTGATCCTTGTAGAACAACCAGAACAGGAACTTATCTTGCTCTACAGTGCAATTACGCTGTTGCGTGCTGTGGGTGAATTTTTGAGTGCTGTATCATGTCATATGCCACTCCTAATGCAGGCAGGTAGAAATAAATAGATATTTGGAGTACTGACCCGGTTCTGTGGTCTGAAGGGGTGTAGATGCCCCTTCTTGAGGCTTGCTGCACAGTCTTCTGCTCCCTCCGTTCATCACGCCTCTCCGCCACTGCCCTATGGGGGAAAGGGACAATTCCTCAGTGGAACACATAAAGACAATTTTAGCTGAACTGTCCCTTTAAGGCTGCCATGGTGATCAATTTTGGCTGTATGATGGATGTTTATACAAAACTAATATGTTATTTCCTGTTACATTTGCACTGATTATGAGTCATTATTATACATTTTTTGTTCCCCAAATGAGGACATGAAAGTGCATTTAAGAATTTAATTTTCATTTGAGCAGCTGTTTTAATCATTTAATTTATTATTGGATAATTTGAACATTTTATTTATCTTTTTTTTTTAAATAAATGTACATAAAAACATTGTCTTTGTAAATGTTAAATTTCCAAACTGTACTTAAAAATTCCGAGTATAGTTTCTTTCTATATTTACACTATATTCAGACTCACCATAGCAATTACAGTTTCTCCCAGTTTCTACAGTTGTATTGGGATCTTCTTCAAACAAGCTTTCACAATCTTTTTGTGTCACTATCATATATACTACTGTAACTGTATTATTTTGTCAGAAACTATAATTGCTATGGTGAGTATGAATATAGTTTGAATAAAGTACATATAGAAAGAAACTATACTCTAATTTTTGAGTATAGTTTGAACATATATATTAATATATTATATATAACAATTATTATATAAATATATATAATTAATTAGTATATTATTACATTGATATATTATATATATATATATATATATATATATAAAATATAACAATTACATATATATTAATAATACATACTAATATATGAAAAAAGTTTGTACATTTATTGTTGTATTTTGTATATTTAATTTGTAAGTTGTGCATTTTTGTAAGAGATTAGATATAGAGCTCCAATTCTTCTTCTTTTTGATGACATACTGAGCGATACCAAGTTACCACAGCTGTTACTAATATTTATTTACTATAGTAAAGAGATCAGATAGAGTTGTAAAATCGTAAATTCACAAGAGGTGTGGCTCTTTTCACGTATTAGATAAAACATAAATTAAAAGTGATCAAATCCATGCATCCAATCACGCCGGTATCGAAAAGTTAAACTACGTCATAATCGTTTATAAACGTTTATAATCATGTGTTCAGTGCTTAGTGTTGTGCTAATAAGTGTGTCAAGAATGCCCACTGTCACTGTGCCCAGTGCCAAAGCTTATCACATGCTGCGTCCGGTCCAAAACAAACTTAAGGAAAATACTGACCTATTAAACTCCCAAAGGCAGCGCGAGGCCCGCGGATCACGTTGAAGATCATGACTTCTGAAGAAAAATATAATGATAGAAAAAAGACCAAATTTAAGCCATGAAAGCCTGTCTAAATGACAACGCCAGTTTTAGTTTCTCTACCTGGATGAATGTCAGTTCGAGTTCGTCGTACTTGCAAGAGCGCAGCGCTGTTAAAACACTGAAGGACCCTGAGAAGTCAAACCAGCTCATAGGAGCGCCTGTTAAGGACATACGTATGTGTTCGTAACACGCATGCGGTTGTAAAAAGCATAGTTAAATAAGATAATATGCACAATATTTGAAGTTCTTCATAATATTTCGCATAAAGCACCTGTGGATTTTACACGCTCACGTTTAATCCTGATTATAGTGAGAAATAATTACATCACATAATCTCCGTTAAAATGGCTCACACTAGTATGAAAAATACTCAGTAATTATCTGTAACATTATTTAGTTAGTGTCAAAGACGACATCTTTTGTAGTAAGTATAATGTAGGCAGTTTTTGGACACCCTCGGCGCGCAGGACCTCTTCAGAGTCCAGTATGGCGGCGCCCGGTGGAGTTCTGAACTGTGAGGACTTTTCAATGTTTCAGGTAAAACTAGCGAACTTGCCAATGGTTAGGATAAAAAATATGGAGGATTATTAAGCGCACATTGATTTTTATGAGCACGGTGTTATGAAGTTTACAGGAAAGATGTATAAATGTCTGACCCTCTGGTCTGATGCACGCAGTCGTGTGGTTCAATGAGCAGCAGAGCAAACATGACACTGCTTTTCTTTATAAATATAAATGTATGCATTAAATGACCTATAATTTATACACAAAACAATATACAGAAATTCTAAGTTTTTTTATTAAAGCTATTAAGTTCATATTTATGTGTAAAATTTGGGTAGTTGACAACATGGACTCGTGAACTTTTTTCAGCATCAGGATTTTATTTAAAGGTGAAGTGAAATTTTAGGTGTTGTAACACTTTTCTCTTTTTGAATAATTTTTAATAACTTCTTATTTATTTCATTTCAATTGTACGATTTATTTCAATTCTGTTAATTATGTCTGTGGTATGTGTCCCTCAGTTAATATGAGCTTATAAAGCTGCATATATAATAATTATACAATAACTTAACGTAGTTTAAAAATGGGTTTAGATGAACTATAACATGTCACACGGCAGGACTCTGCTTGAAATGGTGTCAACTACCCATGGCCATGTGTAGTTATATTGTATACATTATAAATGTAATATGTGATGAATACGGAGGGGTTTTACTTTAAGATAAATTAGTATTCAGTAATATTAATATTTCTTAAATGGAGAAAATTATTCTTAATTTTAAGGGTTTTAAGATTTTTAATTAAGGCATCAGAACAACAATGATTGCATTGCTTACAGTAAATGACATACATTTTCTGCTGTTTTTCTATCTCTCCGTATGTCCTCTAGGAAGTATTAAAAGGGATGCGCACCATAGATGACAGAATTGTCCATGCCCTTAATACCACTGTGCCCACTGTGTCCTTTTCAGGCAAAGTGGATGCCACACAGACCTGCAAAGAACTTTATGAATCTGTATGTATCCCCTTACAAAGTGCTTTTAAATTATCTAAAATGATTATTAGAGGTACACTAATTCTGTGATAGATGTATGACTTATTTTAGTGAACTATCACTAGTATGTGATGTTCAATTACAAGCTTTTTCCCTGTACTTTGTCTTTCAGCTCATGGAAGCCCACCTGTCCAGAGATAAGGCAATAAAATCATGTATTACAGAGACCTCTGCTGTTGTTGGACAGTTACGTGAAAAGAGGGCAAAAGATAGTGACAACTTGTCAATTATCAAGCAACTCAGGAAAGAACAAACTAAGGTAATACCACTGTCTGCCACCAGGGGACCCATGGACTCTTAGTGTTATGTAGTTTTATCTGTTGACTCATAACCAAAGCAATGTAAGACTAGAGGTTGCCCAACTTACATACATATATAACAGACAATAAGCGGAACCACGTGAATCTGAAGACTTGAAGAAGTGCTTCTCAAATCCATGGTTGCTTAAAGTTTTGTTTACATTATTATATTCCACTATGTGTTAATGTTCCCTTTTATATAATTTGAAAGAAGGGTAATTATCGTTAAGTAAAACTATTAAAAACATTTCTGTTAAATAAAATAAAAAACAAACTAAATGAAAATTAGAAAATGTTGCCTCGGCAATAAACTGAAATATGTTTAAATTGAAAAACTAAAATTAAGTGGAAATTAATAAAACTAAAATCAACTGGAAAAGAAAATTGAACCTAAATAGCAGTACAAGTTAAAAAACAAATAAAATGAAAACTGCACATAACAAAATTTAAAAAAATTTAACTTAAATGAATATAACTAAAACTATAAAAATAAATGCTAATTCAAAATATGAATAATTCTATAGACCTTATGCACCAGAGAAACGTGCGCGCCGTCATTTTTAGAATACTGTCTTTGAACTTCCGTTTTTGCGGTCGCTCTGTATATTTCTATGGCATCCGTGTCCTGGAGTAATTAGCTGGTGATGTGGATTTACTTATTGTAGAGTTAACAAAAGTTATCATGAGCATTGTAATGTTTATCATAAACATTGTAAAGCAGATGTCTTAACAAATGTCGACGGGGAATTTTTTACGAGCAGTTCATTCATACCTATGCAAGGTCGCTGTGAAAATACAGACCGGAAGTCAAAAGACAACGAGCGCAGCGCTGGAAAGGGGCGGGGCTACATAAGGTCTATAATAAAACTAAAATAGCACTGTGTGGAAGTCCGTTCACAAATGGCTGATATTGAAATCTTCTCAATTTGCCTACAGTTAAAAATCATGCAGTCTGAGCTGAATGTTGAAGAGGTGGTCAATGACCGGAGTCTGAAGGTGAGGTTTTTGAGTGTCTTCTATTGATTCTATTGAACATGAGCTGTTTTCATTCAGAAACATGTCCCTGATGGCTTTTCCCCCCTAGGTTTTCAACGAAAGGTGCCGAATTCACTACACCCCTCCCAAGATCAAGTGAATGATAGCTCTGTTGTCAACATGAACCACAGTGTTCTGAGGACAACACCTGGAGCTGAGCCGGGACATTGACCCCAAACATCTCACAAACCCTCCTCCGCCAGTGTGCTCTGTCTGTGGCTTTGTGTTTCTGCAGTGAAGGAACACTACCGTTGCCCTAGTCCTGTAAACCTTTTTGTATAAATACTGTACAAAAGATTTTATTAAAAATGAAATGTTTTCCAATTACTGAAATGTTATTTGCTTTGCAACACAGCGATGAATGTTCAGATGAAGAGGAGGATACGTTTCTTGATCTGTTCTCAGAACTTGACATGCCCACTTGTGTCAAAGGTTAAAGAAGGGGTTTTCAGTTTCTTAATGACCCACATCCTAAAAATTTAAAAGACCAGTTCTTGTATAAAGGCCCTATATATACTGTGAAAAATTATATTATAAATTTGTCAAAAATATTATTTGGAAAAGATTTAGCTTCTATTCAGTTACATTACTACGTTTAGTCTGTATTTATTTAAATTAAAATAATTGTATACTCTTTAAATTAGTTATTAAAATCAGATTATTATTTTATCCCTTATTTAAATCAAAATATTTAGTTTCAATTCAGTTACATTACATGTAATGCATTTAGTCTATTTAGACTGAAATAATTTTTTAATTAGTTATTTAAATTAAATTATATATTTTTAAATCATTCCTAAATCTAATATCTAGTCAATTCAGTTACATTACATTTAATTATTTTTTTAGTTATAATAATTGTATTTAAATCAGATGTTAATTTTTAGCATTATTTAAAATATAAAATCTTTTAAATCAAAATATTTAGTTTCTAATCAGTTACATTACTTTTAATTAAAAAAAATATTTAGACTGACATGTTTATTTTAATCAAATTTTTAAAAATCATTTTTATTTAAATCCAAAATCTTCTAAAAAATGAAATCTAAATATTTTTTATTTTTCCATGGACTCCCTAGCACTCATAACTTGAATAACAAATCCATATATGAAAAAAGTCCACTATGCGAAGACAAAAACAATTCACAACTTTCCATCTATGCATTTTATGTAAATAAAATACATTATAGGCAGTCGAGTATAAAACTACTATTTACTGCATCAGTATCACTAAGTACAAAGCCCAAAATGTGAAGACCAAACTATTGGCATGGATAACTAGATGTGAGTTAATTGATCTTTTGAGTGTAAGGGAGTAACACATGTCAATTATTGATAAGATCACCACATGTAATACATGGGTTAACGTTTCATCTTTTGACGTTAATATAACATTTACTGTGTAAAAATGGTAACTGTGGGATTCATGAGTATGTTGGGCAATATTAATGATGATTTGATCTTTCACTTCAGAAGTATTCAATGGCATCATGATGAGCCTTGGATGTCTGAATGCTGTGCAGCTCCAGTTTTTCTCCAGCATGGGGCAGGGTTTTATAGACACGCAGATGAATATAGTCATCCTCACCTACATGCACCTAAAAACAGATCATTTAGAACAGTACATTCAAAAACCATTAACGTTATAGTTCAGGACTGTAAGTGTTATCTGAGGCTTGCTTTTACATATAAAATCAGTACATTAACAGGGTTCCCCTATACGTTCATTCATAAAATCACACAGGGTTTTCTCTTACCTTAATAAAGTAATTCTTCCCCGCAACAACTTGCGTTTTAAAAGATTTGGCGGTGAAAGCGTCAAACTTGCGGCCAGCTTTATCCTCGGCATGAGACTTTACCTGAGAAAAAACGGGAGTTGCCAGTGAATGTTGCTGTATGACACATCACTTCACTATTTCTGTTTCTCTGCAATGTAAAGTTACTAACCTCATCGCATATTTTCTGCACCTCTTCATTTGCATCTTTCGCCTCGGATGTTCCGCCACAAAGTAAAGGCATTTTAAATACAGAAGGTTAATACAAAATACTCGGGAACGTCTGCTCACAACAAGATTTACTGACTGGAATGTTTACTTCCTGGATATCACGACACATTGGAAGAAACCATTTTTGTGGAATAGACCAAAGAGGGTTGTAGTGTATCAACAGAAAAAGACCTGATTGATACTCTGCTGTTGAGCTTAAATATATATCTAAGCATTATAATTATTTAACTTTAAATGTAAAATATTGATCTTCTTTATGTTAATGTGTCTCTGTTCATGGTTCATCTCCCCCGTAATGTGGATTGAACCTCGTTTTACCGCACATGCTACTGGTTAGGGCGTGGATAGTTACACTCATAGATATGGTTACACTGACATTTTTACAAAATTAAATATTATTTTAAATTTAAATCATTATTTTAACATATTTAAAATAACGACAAGGCAAGTTTTTAGCAAGAAATTGAGTACATAAACTCTACAAACCCAGGTGAGTCCATGTGACTACTGAAGCTTCTGCCACTGCTGAACACAACTGAATTCAGGTAAATTGAGACCACACACAAAAACAAATGTCCTAGTTGGGTGAAGAACAAGTTCAAAAACTGAAACTTGATATCCAACGAGGTTGGATTTTAAGATCTACCTAATTGTTAAGTTTATTTGAATGAAACCAAACACCCAAACCAGTTTTGCAAGGTTCTCTGGTAATCTGCAATTTTTCAAGCTCAAACCAAACCTCGAAAAATGTTTCATAACAGGTTGAGTGTGATAGTGACCGTGTCTTATTAAAATGTATAGAAATGGCAACTCCTTCAACTCATATTTTAACATTTCATTTCATAATAGATATCCTTCTGCCCATTTTTGTCTATCCATCATTTATTCAACATCATGTGTCCATCCATGTGTCCATCCCCTCCCAGTTCCCTTTACTGTTAAAGACATAACACTGTATGGTTAATGACTAAGCCATACAAGATGTTATCTAAAGAACATGTGCTATATGTACTCTTTGATAAAAGTTTAGTTTTTACTTCAGAAACTAAAGAAAGAACCTTAAAGAAATACAAAACCCTTCTTCCATCTATTACAAATATTTTAGTTTCTTCAGAGTGTGCAAAGTAAAGGTCACTAAGTTATGTAAGGCTTTTTCGAAACCATCAGACATTTATGCAATGAAAAAAATGGTTGCCTTGACAGCCATTGTGCGCATGTATTTGTGTGTCATACTCTGCACGTGTACTCATACAGTTACACAACCTGCACACTTATAAAACCAGTCCCACGGGAGTAGTACTGCATTTGTGTTTGTCAGTCCTCGGGGTGTTATGTTAACTTCCTTCTCTATTTTACTCTTGGTTTCAGACTCTGGGAGTGTTTTCAGCTGTAGGTCAGATACGATTCTAGTGCATTTATGTTTATAGTCAATAGGCTAGTAATAATATTAGCAGTGCTTCTGAGTCGAGTGCGCTTCTGTTAAATATTTTAAGATAGCATTACATTCTCTTTATTTCAGCTGCTCACAATGGGAGATCACAGCACTGCCCGTTTAGCACTCATAGTCCTTTCTGTTGTCATGTACATCATTTGCATCGTATTCAACGCACTTGCTGGACCAGGAACAGGTACGTACAGCAGATAAACTGAATACTGTTTCTAAATAAATGATAGGTGCAAAAGTACATTTTGGTTGAATATATTGCTACAATGTTGTTTTACTCATCCGCAGGTCCTTTTCGGAACACCACTAGTTCTATATCAAATAAGTACAATACCGAAATCACTCCCTCAGGATGGACCTTCTCAATCTGGGGTGTCATCTACACCTGGCTGTCCCTCATGCATGCTTACATCCTCTCCACTACCTGCAGGAGGTATGAACTCTGAGCTAGAATCAAATGATATCCAAAAATAAAGTGGTATGTAATAATATTTTGATGTTCATGAGACATTTATTTATATTGTCATCACAGGACTGTTTATGGTCCAATGTACTGCAGTCCTGCTGTGTTGCCGTATGGATTCTTCATCACCTGGATTGCAAACATGCTGCTGAATATAGGCTGGCTCCTTCTGTGGGACAGAGAGTAAGAAGGAAAATTCTGATATGTTGAAATATACTGTACATAGTAATGTCCGTAGGGGATATTTGTTTTTTATGACCCCTTCAAGTTTGATTAAACGATCAAAATATGAGGATTTTTTTTTTTTTAAATATAAAGGTAAAACAAAGCACTAAACTAAGGTATTTTAAGGCAAAAAAGGCAAACTGCAGCTAAAGGTTTTATAGTATGCAAAAAATTCATAGAAAAACCAAAAGCTCACAGGGAAAAGCATACATTGACTACTACATAATGAAAAAATAATGTCTACACAATTTGGCTTGTTTCATTACGTTATCACAAATAAAACAATTGACTCAAATCTCAACTACGCAATACAAGTACAAAATCTTTAACACATTTTTTATAACATATAAATAAAGGGTGAAGATGTCAATTTTAGTGCTGTCAAATCCATTAATCGCATCTAACATAAAGTTTTTGTTTACATAATATATATGTGTGTGTGTGTGTGTGTGTATATTATATTATATATATGTCTGGGTGTGTGTGTTTGCGTGTCTGTATTTATACATATAAATATTATAATATATACACACACATATATATTATGTAAACAAAAACTTTCATGTTAGATGCGATTAGTTGATTTGTATTCATTTTTTATATATGTATTCACGATATATATATATATATATATATATATATTATTCGTGATTGCACTTATTTTTACATTTTGTAAATACAATTCCTTTGCATGTATATTTAAAGAAAAAATGATGTATAAATGAAATAACATATATAATACAATTCATACATACATTTTTCTACAGTAATAACATCTTTTTTTAAACTCAATTTCTTTGCATTTATTTAAAGGGTGATGATTGCTGGATTTGTTTTCCTTGCCTTGATTGCCTTCACAAACTACTTGCTGATCATCTTTACCTGTCATGCCCTCAAACAATATGGATCCTGGTTAAACAAATATCACAAAGTAGACCTCTGGTGCATTCGGATATTGGTGAGATATCATTGAAATATTACTCAACAGCTTCTCAAACTTAACTTACATTTTAAAAACATTATGCAGTTTTTAATGTTGCATCTTCAACCTTGCAGGTTCAGAATGGCCTTGCAACATACACAACGTGGACAACTATTGCCACCTTGATCAACTTCACTGTTGTGCTGAGATATGACGCTGGAATGACCCAATCAGATGCAGCAACAGTCTCTCTCTCAATTCTTTTGGGTGAAGCTATTGCTTGGTAAGACCATAAAACTCTAATAACTTATTTTAAATAAATGAAAGATGTTAATCTTGAGATTAACGCGTAATGATTTTTACAGGTTTATTGTTGAGAACTTTGTGTTTGAAAAGCACCTGCGATACATTCTGACAGTCTACCCTGTTGTCATTGTGGCTTTGAGCGGAAACATGACAAAGAACTTTAACTCTGCGGATCCAAGTCGCAATGGCATTTACATAGGTGAGCCAGAACAAGCGCTGCATTGACATCATAATAGTTTTGCTGTTATGTTCTTAATCTGTAGTGTATTTCATGACAACCAAATTGTGTGTTGTATTCCACAGCTGTTCTACTGGGGTTGGCTTGTACACTATTTGCCATCAAAGTGTTGCTGGTTATATGGAGGCATATTAAATATCCTCTCTACAGAATCATGGATACAGACGAGGCCATGTCACCGATGGAAATCGCTGAAAAGCAAAAAAAGATCTTCAGTTAATCTGAACTGTTCATATAATTGAATTGTATATTTGTGTAATCATCCTACAATATGCTTTTTTTTTTATAAATTATATATATATTTTTTAATTGTTCAAATGTGTACATTGTTTATATGTACTTTTGATAAATAATAAAAAATAAAATACAAAGCGTGTGTAACTGAGTTACACAAAATGAATTGCTCTTATCGGGGCAGGGGGTGTACAGTGACCATGATCTGTGCACTGTTATGTACTTTTTTCTGCAGCAATAAAATCATAAAACTCACTAGAGAATCATAAAGATTTAGCGGAGAACCCAAGAAGCTGGTCGGGTGATTGAATATAGAGTTACTATCACCACAATACTGTTATATCAAATGTCAATCAAATTAATGAATTGAGTATCGCTCTGTGTAAAAACTTTGTGTATTGTCTAATAACTCATCCTTACATGTGACATCTGTTTAAAAAATGTTGATATCGTTGATGAATAAAAAATATTATATTATAAAACTTCGTAAAATCTTATTTAATATAATAAAATCTTATATAAAGGTATAATCTTCTATAAATTAAATGTATGTTTTTTTTATTAAAAGGAGGCATAAAGAAAGACTTTTTTATTCGTAATAATTTTAAGAAATGTAAAAATTATTTTAAAATGTAATCTGAGATATGTGAGGGTATATTTTATCCGAGTATACCATTTTAATTGTTAATTTATTTGGCGTAACTGTGAGACACTCCATGGCACTAGGTGGCAGCATTTCATTGTGTGTCTTCCTCCCGCACAGGAAGAAAATTGAGCGGGAGAATTTGTGTTGTTGTTGTGGGCCAAATACAGTGACGGACTCTGAAAGAAATTAATGCTTTTTGTGGGGTATTAACATTTTATTAATTCCTTTTCTCTGTTGTTTTGAACGTAAAACTATCGTAAATGTAACAGGAATGCATTAACATCGAGACTTTCAAATTGTGTAAACAAAAAAGAGTGTAATGTAATCGGCGAATGGCGGTCAGCTAACGTTACCAGTAATGTTGATAGTGAGACGAAGAACTGGACTATCTGCGGGTTTATGAGCTTCACTGGCGGACACACAGTCTCTGTAACCGGGGATGGCCCTCATGACGATGTCGCAGGTCAGTAACTTAAGTTACGAGTGTACTTAATGAACAAAATTAACTTATCGTTGTTTGTAGCAACCGTCTGTGGCACAGAGTCAGTCTGTCAGTGGCTGCGGTTCAAAACCTAGTGAGCTCCCTACCTAGACAGCATCTTAGGGCGTCATAAGTGCTCAAAATTCTCTCTGAGTAAGCAGTGCACTAGGTTTTGAGACAAAGCCAATGTCTAGTAAGAAACGAAAGTAGATATGAAGTGACAGTTCAGACTGATATAAAATATGTTATGTTATATATGTATATACACACTGACTGTATATTAACTTTACCGTTCAAAATCTAGGGCCAGTAAGTTTAAAAAAACGAAGAATGTTACTTTTTTTCAGCTGGGACACATTAAATTGATCAAAAGTGACAGTAAATATGTTCACATTGCTATAAAACATTTCTATTTCATATAAATGCTATTTTTGTGAACTTGCTATTCATCAAAGAATCCCTCACGGTTCCCCCAAAAATATTAAGCAGCACAACTGTTTTTAACATTGACAATAAGACATTTTTCTTAAGCACCAAACCAGCATTAATGATTTCTAAAGGATCATATGAGACTGGAGTAATGATGCTGAAAATTCAGCTTTGCCATCACAGGAATAAATGACGTTTTATTTTACAATATATTATAGAAAACAGTTATTTTTGAATTGTAATAACATTTCACAAATGTGGCAAATATTTATTATCACACAAATATTTATTTTTGATCAAATAAATGCAGCCTTGGTGAACATAAGAGGCTTTTAAAACCCCCACTCTTTTGAATGGTATTAGATAGATAGATATAGGTGTGTGAATTTTATGATAAATGTTAATGTGTTTTATATGTTATTTATTTATGTATTTTTTCCCCTTCATATGAACTTGTGAAGTTTGAATCAATTATTTCAGGTCAAAGCCAAAAAGAAACTGCATTATTTCCAAAAACAGGAAATGTAAGTAATGTGCCGCTTTCAAAACTGTATTGGATTAGGTTAATATCTTAACAAGCTCAAGTAAGAGGCACATTTCATTACATGTTGCTGCTGATTTTCAGAGCCCATTCTAAACTCAAGGATGTCTTCACCTTGCCTGACATTGACACTCTCTTCGATGACATTGGTAATTATATTCTTACATTCACCTCATTGCTAAAAATCTTCATCTAATTTTTTCGTGCCATTCATTCATTGTGTAAAACCATATTACATGTTGTTGTTATTGGTAGATGCTGACTCTGAGCTGGGTTTGCCTCTGCTTCCTCCATTGTCCAAAAGCACTGGTGTAAATGGTCAGAAAAAAGGCTCACGTGATCCAAAAAAGATGAAGGCATCATCTAAGAAGGTACACATGGAGTGAATCATCAGAAATCAGTCTGTTCTCATTGCCACAATGTGATGTTGATTGTTAATCAGATGACTCTGATTGTCAGGTACACAAGGATTCTTTGATCCAAGAAAATGGCATTCAAGAGGATGAAATAATTGATAGAGGTAACCCCACATCCACAAAAATCTCTTATCAGTTGTATTATCGTGACTATAATTTCCTGCTATTATTGCTTTATCATCTTTAAAGAATGCATTTTTACATTTAAAAAATAAATAAATAAATTTTGGTAATTTAAATCATGTATATATTAAAGCTGCAGTCCGTAGCTTTTCCTCTTTGTCGCCATCTCTCTGTTCGAAATCTGTAACTGCAGTGATTCGCGGAATTATCATCTTTACGTGGGTTGTAAATCGGCATGAAACAGCGCGGATGAACACAGTGTTTTGAGGCGAGTGGTGCTGTCAGTCACCGCGCTGTGTGGATACTGTCATACAGAATCACAGATTCACTTTTTGAAAGTTTGACCAACATAAGAATTTTCATAAGAAAATGTCTTCTGAACAAGTAAGTAAAATCCATTTTTGTTCTGACCAACTAAGGGGGGAAAAGCATTCGACATGATAAGCTTCGTTAGATTTAATCAACGCGATTTACAGCAACCGTGCAAATTATAGCCTACTTTGTTCTCAAATTGTTCATGTTAACAACATCACATCAGCATTGCGTGACTAATGTTAAATTTAATGTGTTTTATGGTTACCTGTGTAGTTCAGAATTCATATTCTCCATAATAGCCAAACGAGAAAGGCACAACAAAGGAAACTCCATAACTGTGTGAATTAAGAAAACGTACTGTTACACGATTGAACTATTGAAATGTCTTACTTGTTCAGCAGAAAAAAGCCGTCTCTTCTTCTGTTTTGAACCCCTTCAAAACACGGAGTTCACGCACTTTTCAAAAGCCCCGCCGATGTTTAAATCCTTGTGTTCGCATGAGACGGTTTCTTTCTCTAGCCACCTTAAATCCGAAGTACAAAGTCTTTTGGGTTTTATAACTGCTGAATCTCCAGTTGACACTGATGATTGTTGTTTGGATCTTTCTGGATGCCATAAGTTTAATTATGTAAAGTGCTGCGAGAAAAGCCTATACATCTCTACATCTCCTCACGCGCAGTATAGCCGGCTAGCCGAAACTCCTTCTTTATGTGTACGGGTGTGACGTCATGACGCAAAGACATGCTCGAATTTCCCGCGGAAACCCACCAGTACCGCTGGAATTAAAATCATTATTACAAGCTAACCGTTTTGAATCTAGCTATGGCAAGCAGATAGTTTTGACCACTGGCAGAATAAGTTTTTTTTAATATAATTATTTTGGATTATTTTTAACTTAAAAAAGTTGCGGACTGCAGCTTTAAATAATAAAATGAACTTTCTGGGCAAGCAGAAAACATCTTTACTTTTGATCCCTGTAATATAGCTAGTTTTTGTAAAAAAAATTCAGTATATTTCATCACGTTCTTGTCAATTTTTTCTCATTCCTTACAGAGAGTCCATTTAAAGATATTGCTCCCATAAAGACGTCCAGTCCTATTGCTTTGGCAACAGAGAGGGATGAGTCCGGGGATGGAGTCAGACCTGTGGCTGATCCTCTTCTCTTTGGAGTTGAGGATGAGGAGCCCATTGGTGGAGACTTAAGCAAGGTGTCCTGCATTCAGCAGTCAGAACTGCCGAAGGAATCTCTCTATGGGTAAGAATAAAAAGAGTCTGATAGCTGGTATTGTTTGTTTTGTATTGTTTTTTTCATTACCTTACTGTTCCGTTATTCTTTCTGCTCTGAAAGGGATAGCGGGTCTCTGGCATCACCACCAGAAAAGCTTGAATTTAGAAAAACTGCTAAATCAAATGCGGGTTCCTTTTTAAGGTCAGTTATTAATGTATAACAACAGTATTGTACATCTGCATCTTTATTTTATAATAAGAAATATAACCTTAAATTGTATTTGTTAGTATGAAGCTTGCAAAAAACACTAAAACGTCAATGCAAGCCACCCAGTCTACACCTCCAGAAAAGAGGGAAGACATAACAATGTAAGTTAACTTAAATTTACTAATGTTAAAACTGAATTGTTCCTGCAGATTTCTTAATTAATCGACTTCTTTTTTATTATTAAGGGATAAAGATCCTGGTCAGCTTTCTCCTGTTTTGGGTCGGAAGAGTGAACAAAAACTTCGGGTGGCAGAGCAATGCAGAAACCAAGTAATGGAGGATCCAGGCAAAGGACTGTCTTTCCAGCAGAAGCTTAAAAAAGCCATGATGCCTAAATCCCCATGGTGAGTTTAAATGTGACATTCTGAACATAAACCACGTGGGGCGTTGTTACTTTCTTGTAACACATTTCTTATTCCATTGATAAGTTCCAGGAAACGAGCAGCAGTTCCAGCTCCTCCACCTGTAGATTTAGAGGAGGACTTCATGATCCTGGACGATGAGGCCCCTGTTCTTTTCATCATCCCTCGCAAGGCAGAGGTCAGCAGGAACAAAAGACCTGTCCCAGCAGACACTGCAAAGGAGAATGTTCTTACAGAGCCGCACTCCACAGATCAGCTCCCGCAGAGTGAAGCGGAGATGAAAAAGCAGCATGGGACGGATGCTAAAAGAAACGAAGCACAAATCGAGTCTGGTAAACAAAAACCGAAAGGAAAACATGGAAAAGCTTCAAAAAAGAGTGGTAAAGACTCTGTGACTCATGATCGTGTAGAGGATGGAGCGGACCCTGTAACCGAAGCGCATGAGGACAGAGTTTGTGATCAGACCTCTTCTCAAACTGTAGAGGGACACAAAGAAGTGCAAGCGGGTAAATCACACTTTTACCAAATCTGTATAATATCTTATAATATTATAATCTTAGATTTCTGATGTATACAAAGGCAGTATACTTGATCAGTGCAGCCAGTCCACATGCAGTGTAGCGTTAATTTTGTTAGCTATTTGTTTTATTTAGTCTTAGTCATGTCAAATTTACTTTTTTTATATATAATATTTATTCAACCATGTCGTTTTTGTTGTCAAGTTTTAGTCGACTAAATGTCTGGGCATTTTAGTCTAGTTTTAGTCAATGAAAACTAAGTCACATTTTCTTCATGCTTCATAATGGTTAAGATGATAATAATGATTATTTTGCTTAACCCCTTAAGTGTCACGGGCCCACCGGTGGGCCCAAATCCTTTACATTTTTAAAACAGTAATATCCTATACTAAACCTAAACTAATCTTGACAAACTATATATCATTTGAAAGCTTACAATCTCTAGTTTCCATATTTGGTGATTGATTTTCAAAATAAATTACAGAGGAGCCGTAATTTATCAATTTGCAACAATAATATTTTCATACTCTTAGACCTTTATTTTGAAATAGTGATGAACATGAAAAATCATGAAAGAAGGGTAGAAACCTCAGTTTGTTTTCATTCCAAGAGTTCAAAAGATAGCATCCATTCAATTATTTAAAAAAAAAGGTCTGAATTTTTTTTTTTATATAAAGAAAAAAATTATATGATGTGGCAGGAAGCTAAAACGCACATGCGTGTTCTTTTTATGTTTCTTAGAGGTTGAAATCATATCAAAATCTGCCAAACTTCTCATATTACTTCTGAATAGGATGTCTACTTCATAAATTGTATGAAAATTGTGGAAATAATGGTTCATATCATTCAAAACACATATGGAAATGGAGGCGCCCTTATATGGGCAGTAATGGAGTCTGGTTGTCATCTAGTGAAAAAGTTTGGTACTGCGCCCAAACAAAATCTTACTGAAAGCTCATTTTTTGAGATATCAACCTAAAATTTGAAACACAACTTGTTCAGATTTTTGGCTTTGATTTTTTTTGCAGTTTTAGAGTCGCCCAGGTTTTGAAAATATATATTTTATATAAAATATGAATAATTAAATTTTTTACATTGTACATTTTCATAAACTCAAACTTCTATAACTTTTTTTCTATTTCACTTTCTTAATTTATTTCACTTCTACAAGAATCTGCCAAATGTCTTCTTTAAAACAAGACCAATCTTACGTCTATATTCCAAAGCATTCTTGAATTACAACCATTTAAGTTCGAAATGTGCATTTTCATGTATATTCAAAAAAAGGGGGGTGACACTTAAAGGGTTAAAGTTGTAATCACAATTCACAACGATTGTTGTCATTTGAGACATTTATTTTTTACATTTCATCAGAATTGTTGCACTTTCACCTATAAACACAAACTCGTACATATGCTTTATTTCACCTTATCTAATTTCCTGATTTATTATAGACTTTTTATCATATAAATTAAAATGAACAATTATGTAATCTACATTATGAAAACCTTTTTTTTTTGTTGATATAGATTACATTCATAAGTGCACAAATACATTTTGGGGATACTGTAGTAGTGCAAATACTTTATCACTACATTTATATTTACATTCATAAAACATTGATGGAGAAGTATTTATATTATTTATAAAATATTGATGGAAATGGAAGATTATGTGATATATTGAAAAAAGTTTACACGTCATTATATTTGAAATATTGTTTTGTGTGATAGTTACAGGCAAGAAACGGGCAAACAGCAAAGCACCTGAGCCTGCTGAACTTTCTGACAAAGATGAAACAGATGCAGGTGGCAACCAAGAAATTCCAGTTCCTGTGTCTAGAACCACAAAGAAATCCTCAAAATCATCTAAACAGGAGAGGTCAGGGTCAAATGTGAAGAAGGAATCCAATAAAGTCACTGCTGCAGCAGCTCTTCACTCCACAAACTCTGTGAAATCCAATAAAAATAGAAAGAACAGCAAAAAGGAGGAAACTGTCTCTAAGACAAAGAAACAAACTTCTAAACAACAAATAGAGTTAGAACAGATAGATCCTTCCTGTGATGAGCAAGAGCATGAACCTCCACCTGCCCTCAATGAGCAAGAGGAGGAACAAAGAACAGGTCAGTTCCTCTGGCTTTTGCTTAATTATGCTGTGCATCGATAATTATGAAGCAGAATTATGTCATTTTGGTTAGACGGGCATCTAACACTCAAGACTCACAGATTATGCATCCCTTACAACCACCAGTCCTGTGTTGCGGAAAACTTACAATCTTTTCTGTTTTATTTTTACACTAGCTGTGAATAAAAAATCTTCCACCAAGGAAGATGCCGTGGATCCCGCCAAAAAACAGAAGAAAAAAGAAATGCAAAAGCAGGAACCAAAACCAAAGGATCCACCAACAACTGCATCTGACATTTCGTCAGACAGTCCTCTGTTTGCCAAGAGGAAAAGGAAACCTCCAGGAGCATGGTGGCTCTCTAGCCCAAATGAAAGTAGCACAGAGCTTCAGCCAACGCAGGTGTTGGGTACGGCACAAGGGCTGAAAGCCAGTACAAAAATGTCAACGAAGCAAGGAACTGCTGTTGATTCTGAAGAAACACCGTCTCTCAGGCTTGCCCAGGGGAATCAGAAGAAAACAAAAACTCACGATGTGAAAAAGGTGTTTGCAGGTGGCAATGGACATGATACTGGAGCTGAGCAGAAGACCGCTAAGAAGACAAGTGGTCGAAGGAAACCAAAATCTGCAGCCACTCAACCTCAAGTGGCATCACCAGCTCATGTGTCAGGAGAGGAAGCGGGAGTTGGTCCGAGTGAGAATGCTGTGAGGATTAGTCCAGAATTCTGTAGTCCTCACAGACTGCACAACGTCCTACCAGGTAAACTCATTCCCAAACAGCTTTTACTTTGTATGGTTGAAGTTTTTGAACTAACCCTTTCTTTCCGATAAATAAAACAGGTGAGAAAAGAGTGTTTGACTGGGTTTACTCAAGAGAAAATGGCTCTGCACAGAAACCACCATCCTCTTCTCTTAGAAGACCAGAGAGTTCTGCATCAGACAACTTTCCACAGAAAAGACAAAGAAAAGCTCCGTCCAATTGGTGGGAGGCGCCGCAGTCTCAGGAACCAGCTGATGGTCTTCCAACACCTCGCAGTCCTCCTCCACAAAAATCCAAACTATCAAAAACTCCTCTTCGTGGTGCATGTAATAAGGAGGGAAATTCAATAAAATTGCAAAAAACTACAAATCGCATAAAAAGAAACATAATCAACACACCAAAGTCAATTAAACGATCTTTGGCCTCAATGAATGCAATTTTTGCTTCTGAAAAACCTGAAAATTTGGTAAAAAGTGGACAAAGGGGCAGAAAACAGGGACGCAGAAACCTTCTTCACTCTCTTGAGGACCAGTCAGATCACTCAAGTGAGAATGCGGCCCAAAGTGAGGATCAGCCGCAGGGAAACAGACGCGCCTCCTTTGGCTTCACCAGTGGTGTTACCGTGGAGCCGCCAGGGACCAGAAACAGAACGAGTGTCCGAGTATCCAGTGGACCCAACACTTTATCTGATGTGTAAGTTGATTTATAAAATGCAGATGTATGTCTGGCCTAAACAAATGCTGTTTGCACCTGAATGTTAAAAATAAATATGCAGATCTGCAGTATATAAAAGTTCCCTTGTCTAACCCCTTCACCAGACCATTGGGATAAAAATAACTGTTGTGTGGTCAGTGCAAAAAGTCACTGTTTAAAATTCTGTGCTTCAGGACTGAGTATTTCTGCTTTTTTTGTGTAGTGACGTTGCTTTCAGAAGTGGGCCGTCATCAATGCTTGAGCTTCAGCAACATGATGAAGGGGATGATGATATTGGTGAGAATTCATGTGCGATGTATTTTAAATCTGCATTGTGTCATTTCTGTGCCACTAAATGGAATTGCAAAATAGGTTTACCAAACACTCCCAAGCGTTCAAACTCATACGACCGGTTGAGCCAACGTTACTCTGTTGTGCCTCTAAAACAAACAATACTTTGAAAGTTCCACAGAACCATGCGTTTTTACACTAATCAATTTAAGAGCTCTGACTGCACGATTTGTAACTAACTCCTTTTCTTTCAGATTTGCCATCGTCTAGGGTGACACCCCATGTGCGACAGGCTGCACGGGTGTTGGCGCACTGTGATCTCTGTGGGCCTCCGTTGCAGCCTGTTGTCCTGGAAAATGAGGACTGGGACAACCTACATGTGTGGTTCTCTCACTTGTGGCCACCAGCCTCGAAAAGTAATGACATTACAATCACAAATAAATCAACACGCAAGTCTATTTTACATATCAGGTGTAGCCATGTTACAGGGACACGTTGCCTGAACAGCCTTGTGTTGAATGACATATTCATGGGCACGATAGTGACAGGACAGGAGTTCCCCCTTATTTGGGCCTGAACCTGGAAACTCTGTGGTTGGCGGATTACATAATTACAATCATTGATTAACATACTTGCTTTTTGTTTTACCGTTATTTTTGATTCTTAACATTAGAAGCCTTTTGAAATCCATACAGATTTTTACTTCCAAGTGCTGAAGTACAACATACTGGAAACTAACTTAAATTACAGCTTGTTTATATGGGACTTTTACCCATGAGTGGACCTTTTCACTGAGTTGGGAATGCGCTTCCATGGAAATATTTGTTTCCTACCACTTAACATATTGTTTTCTTTTCATCAAGATAATTAATGATTTAAATCTTCTATTTGAATATCTAATGGTCAGCAGGGGTTTTTTCATACAGGAAGCATTAAAACAGAACAGATAATGAAAAGTGATAGCTTGGTCCACATTTCATTGGACTCCAGACTTCTGTTTACTTGCTTTATGAATATTTACAACATGTCTTCAAAATTTTTAAGTCGGCTAGAAACGGAAGATGCAATAGTCTTTTTTTCATATTGTGACATATATATCCAAGGGAATCGGCTTCTCAAACTAGACAAAATGTAGGGTTGAATTTGATTTTGTCCATCTAGAATTGATTGGATTATTGGATGGTTCTGGTTTGCTATTGCTGTGATCTCATGTGAAGAGAAGAGATGTTGCTACAAGTGGGAGGGGAAATTATTTTGAATAAAGATTACGAGGGTACATTCATTTTGATCATTTATAATGAATACTGTAGTGTTCTATAACAAAAAAAAGAATGGTCAATTTTGATTTCATGGTGACTTTTGAAATGGCATGACCATAACCATAGATCAGTCCATTGATGGTGGCTTACTACCAAAGATTGGTCAATGTAACTATGGTTTTAACAGTATTCAGCTATAGTATTTCTAAAACACATTTAGAAACTATAACTACAACCAAAGTATTCTCCTCGAATCGAATTACTACTGTTGATGTTATCACAGTAAAACCATGATAAATTGTCAATAAAAAGGGTGTTGCTGCGTAGTTTGAAAAGCATTTGAGTTAACATGTGACCTTTTTTCTTCTCTTTTCCTTGTCATTTCTGTTTATGATGCTGTGGCTGTCCAGCTGCTTGATATGTTTGACTTCCTCCACAGTGCACTAAAGTAGAAAATTCTCAGTAGGATTCAAATGTGTCATGCAGTGCACCACACAGATAATTGGTCCTCGCTCGCTGTGAGGTTTGGTGCGAAGCACATTTAATGCTTATCACATAAAACATAAAAGCCCAGGATGTGAGATGAAGACACAATCATATTGGCGGCAGTTGTTTGTATCGAATATAATTACAACTCCTTGTGACTTGTTTTATATAGCTCGTTCATGTGCAGGTTTTTTCCCCCCTTTCTAGACGGACGAGTTATTAGTCCTGATGACTTCCACTGGCACTCCCATGGAGGCCGAGCAATAGGCCACATGGTTGACCTCCAGAGCCGCTCTTTCTCACACGGAAAGATTCTACTGGGGTCGTTCATGAAGAAACCCTCACAGGTGGATCATGATATGGTTTCTGTGAGTAGAATGTCTTTTTTAAAATCTCAGTAATTTCCATAACCGGAATAATGTTGTAGCCTTTTGAGATCTAATTGTAAAAATAAGTTCATGAGGTGGTTACATCATGACATGTTTAAAACCCCTTTCTGCCCATTTGACTTTAATCATCATCCCAAGCTGCCCAGTTTGATCAATAATTCTCTGCAAGTAATTTAGGTTTACATTTACATTATATCAAATTTTCAGGTATTCAGCATCATCTCAAGTTGTGTGCGTGTTGATATGGATGGTGTAAAGTCAGTCTACAATTGTGGAGAAGTGTTTATGATACCCTCTGGTGAGTGGAAACTTATTGCTAAATATGAATTACTTGTACATGTTCTTGATTTCCTCAATTTTATTTTATTTTTGTGTTACAGGACAAGCGTATAGCATCCACAACCTGTGTCAGGAACCTGCAGTGCTGATTTACCACAGGACACTGTCGATTGATTCGACGAGCGGATTGACATGATGTGGCTTCCTTTGAAATATTCAGCTGCATCATTTTTTTAAAAGATAAAATTGTAGATTTACATATAGTACACTTGCTTGTCTGGCAAAGCTCATAAATGCTAGTTGTTTTTTGTGTGTAAATAGCTTAAAGAAAATGTCAACATTGAAGAGACAGTAAAACATGATTTTATGATGCTATATAAAAAGCTTTTCAAAACCGTGGTCTTATTAATATACGTGCACATTTCCATGTTTCCTCTCTGAATGCTACTCTAGTTTTTGTGAATAAATTTGTTGGGTGGTCAGCAGGGGTCAGCAGATCCTTTACTATATTATATTGCTGTTGCATGTCCAACTTGTTTTTATACTCCGAAGTAGTGCTGTTTATTTAAAAAAAAAAGTGAAATTTGTCCTTCAATTTATTAGTAACCACGTCACAGTTTCCATCTCGTGTGTGTGATTTCACTGCATTTGTTTTTGTAATATTGATATGAACTCTTCCTCGGCCCAATTTGGTAATGTATTTATGTATAGACTTGTAAGAAACATGTTTGTTTGAATGTTGCTGTGTTTAAAGCTTGTCATTCCTTTGATTTTCCATCAATTCTGAAAGAGCAATGAGGCGCAGATGCTGCCATATCACTCTAAATATGGTTGGTTTTTTTTTTTTTTTAAAGAAGCTAAATTGATACCAACAGGTTTCAGTTTTTATTTAAATTATCTTTATAGATCGATGCTTGAGACTTTCATTCTCATTTTTGTCTAACATTCACTTTTGTGCACCATTTTTTTCCCCCTGGTCACTCACTCTAAACCCATTTTGTAAAGACCTGGGGACCTTTAATTGTTTAATAATGCAACATGCTTTTCACCTGACAATGCTGTAGGAACAACAAAATATGAGATGAAATGCCTTAAAACAGCTTTTCATAGCAAATCATGACACTTTAAACAAGATTATCCCTTGGCCAAAAGACACCACTTAGAATATTTTACCCAAGTGTGATACTGATAACAAAGACTTTGTTTATAAAGATAATACATTATTTTTGCTTTTAACAGCCATATGGTTCTAGTTAAGATGCCCCCATCCTTCTCCGGAGATTTTCAAACCAATGTACACAAAAGCCTCTTTCATTGTGTGCCTAGAAAGAGAAATGGTTTGTTTACCACGAATTCCAGTAAATTCAGGATTACTTTGTCCAATCAAATCTTTAGTGAAGGTTGGAAAATTTTCAGTTAACCACTAAACCAGTCAGACGTTACAGTTTAATCATATTGAATCCCTAATCAGGAGAAAGGTGGAAAAGCTGACAATATACTGTCTGACTTGGAATCATGCTGAAAACATTAGCTACATGCATCAATAATTCATTATCTTTATCTCGCAAGTCCACATGTGGATCCAGTCATTCTGCTGCTTTAAGGGAATCATTTTCCCAGAGGAATGAGTATATCCCTGGAAAAACACATCAGTGAGCTTATTGATGTCAAGAGCAAAAATGTCAAACCAATGCCTTCTTAAATGATTAGCGGTGTTAAATGGAATGACTTCCCATATTTCTAATTGACTTTTGCATCTGGCTAACTGGAAAATGGCAAATGTTTGTATCCTGCTGTTGATGCATACATCTGGTGTGCCTGTGTCACTGTAAAGGTCATGAGACCCACAAGGGTAGCTGAATGAAAAAAGTGAGGTGCAGTACTTCAATGTGCAAAATATTGATTAAAGTTATAATCTGGACTGAGGGCTTTCATAAAGAGCCTTTTGGGTTGGTCTTTTCCTCCATGTATTCACAGTCTAAATGTAATTAAGGTCGTGAGGAACTCTAAAATTCAATCAAAGACAACTAGCCATGGGCTGAAAGGGGAAAACAACTCAAAGCTGGTGAGTTTTCAGTAGTTTCATAAGCTTGTGGAGGCACTTTAAGCTTAATGCATTAAAATGCTGCAACCCTTTCCCTCGCTTGGTAACATTGATTACTGTGCTCTCACATTTGTGGTGCTAAGTGAATCTGAGTGCAGATGAATGAAGGACGTGGTTCAGGGTAGAGAGAAGCTCTAAAAGGGTACCAGACGCAGGGCGACAGTGAGTTGTAAACTCTGGGGGTGAATTATAAATGTGGAGGAGGACAAATCACTGCTCCCCAAAGAACATTTCCGAAAAAGTAGAACTTTGGCAGGGTAAAATCCTGATAAATATGAATAAAAGGGTCATTAGATGAGAGTTTTGCATAGTTATGTTGTGTTAGCTACATTTTAATTTTAACCCCCTCTTTTGAAACCTTTATTTTTAAGAGTGTATGCTATTTTAATATGGGTTTATTAGGGTTAATATGTCACTAGCAAGTCATGCAACTTTGTTAACCTTTAGTTAGACAAGTTAATGGTTTAAAATTATGCATTCCTTTTCTGTATGCCAATGTCACTCAGAACTGAATCTACGAAGGCGCTTAGTGTGATGGTTTTATGAACAGCAAAATTCTGGCACCAAACGTTATCAAAGGATATCCAGAGTATAATGTAACTTCCTTCCATTGTTGAAAAATTTTCACTTGGTGCTGCACACATCTGTTAGCTTTAACTAAACACATTAAAATCAAATCAGCTAAACAATGCGGCTCTTTTACTAACGCGGTCGCTTAGAACTCGACGGCAGACTTGGCAGCATTGAACAAATCAAGGAAATTCCCAATGTCAGACACTTAGCAAGACTGATCTGTTACCCAGATGAATGCTGATTCTTTCTGCTCTTTGTGCTGCAGCTGATTGCTTTTAAGGAAAAAGTCAAATCTGTACTTTTGCTGTTTTTTGGATGTAGTTCTTTTACAGTTGTGTGAAATGTAATTGCATCTAACTGGCAGAGCAATGCATCAAAATCAGTGAATATGAGGTTCAAGAGGAAGTGTGATGTTAGACGGTTTATGCTTGTGTTTGTTTAAATATACCTGTATGTAGGGAAATGTCAAATTTGTCTCTCATGTATGTTGTTCCAGGAAGCTTTAGGCCACAAAACCACAGCAACATTTTGATCTGACTGAGACTCTTGCTGTGTGACAGAACAATGTTCATGTTTCGAGCATGGTCAGCCCTCAGAATAGTTTTGCATTTGCAGGAAATGACCTTGTGTTCTGCAAATGACATTCTTTTACATCCAAATGATCAATTCACAAAGGCTTGTTGTCACTGACAAAAAATTGTGTCGCATTGAAATAACAGCAGATTCAGACTTAAATTGTCAGTTTTTTTGTGTTTTTTTTTTAGTCTTTGAGGGGCTATTATGATTTTATCCTGGAGGACGATAAAATTGTTGAAAAATCCCACATATCACATGGATCTTTGTGATAGTTAGTCTCTGTGAGTGTAAAATATAGGACTTTTTTGTATTTTTGTTTTCTTCTTCATCAACTTTTTTATTATCAATGAATAACATATACAACATTTCATCATAACACAACTGTAGAAAGTTGCATGTACATTACAACATAACAACAATAAATAAAGAAATATATAAATACTTTTGAAAAGATTTTGAAATTACATCTATACACATTTTACCTTCTTCTCAAACACCGAAAGAGGCTTGTATTTGTACATTTGCATTTGTGAATATGAAATTTACATAAAAATAAAATAACATTTAAAGGTGCTCTATGTAACTTTTTGCGGCCTCTAGTGGTGATGTTTCAGATTGCAACCAAATTTTACAAGAGCGCTCGTGCTCGAACTCATAGACAATACCGTCTATTACGTAAATATCTCGGCGAATACTAGACGGATTCGGCGACCACCGAGCTCGTTGGGACCTTCTAGTTGAGCTGAAAAGAACCATATAAGTTCCATAGTTTTTGGTGGTGTTTTCGCGGAGATATTAGCAGAAAACCATCGGGCGCGCTGCAAAATTGCGGACGCCGGTGACGTCACGATCTCAGAAGAAAATCGCTCGTATCTCTGGAACGCAAAGACCCAGAGAGCTCAAATTCGGGGGAGGAGGTCCCAGGGGAACCCTTGCCCGAACGCTAGAGTGGCGGGCCTCGGGGATGCCCCCTACCGGATCGCCGTTCGATGGGACCCCGATTTCGAACGGCTATAACTCGGGGAGCCGGGCGAGTTGGACCTCGGGGGTGGGCTCGTTCGAAAGGCCCCGTCCAGCACTACGAACGACTAGAGTCTTGGGAATATTGATCAAAGATTGACTGAGATATAAGCCGAAAAACGTGCGCCTTTAACCGGACGTAACTCCCTGACCGTCTACAATAGACTGTATAAAAGGAGAGAGGCTCGGGAGCGCGCATGCACGTCACATCCGTTGGATTTCGCGGTAAATCCGACCCGGAGACTTCACATAGAAATAGGAATACTGGCCTTCAGAGGTAATAGCAAAACTCGACAAGTGAATCATTTTAATGTGTGATTACAACCCCTTCACACACAGGCAATAAAAAAAGGATTCATTTTAGTAGAAAAGTTACATAGAGCACCTTTAAACCAGAATCTTTTGATTTAGCCAATCAGAATTCTTTGGACGCGCTTTCTGCCTGTCAATCAATTCTGTGAATTCACAACATGCCGTCCAAATAAGGGAAGCCGGAAACTGAGTGAGAGCCATAAACAGTAAAAGAAAGGTGAGAGCGTGATAGCTGAACGTTTTCATATGTTTCGGAGAAAGTGAAATGTTTATGAATGATTTCTCATCATTAAACAACGGCTGCATCCGAATCGCATTCTTCCCTATAGGCCTATAGTAAGCAAAAAACAGTAGCCTATGTGACAAAAGAAGTATGTACGAATTTACAGTTAGGCCTATACATAAAAGAGTAGACAATAAGTAGTAGGCTACTCATATCAGTGGCGGTTCTAGACCATTTCAACTGGGGGGGCCAAGCTGGGGCCAGTTGTACTGTGAAAAGGGGCCAGTTACATTTAGACCTTATTGTTGTCATATCATTTTCTGCTCTGCACTCACTGCAGGCATAAACAGGCAAAATACCATGTTTATAATCATCCAACAATGTATTTGTATTTCCATTATATTTTTACATTTGCATTACATATTCAGTATTAGTCACAGGCCCTGTAATTGCATTTCCATTATATTTTTACATTTGCATTACATATTCAGTACTGTGACTGATACTGAATATGTAATGCAAATGTAAAAAATATAATGGATATGCAAATTTGCATTTCCATTATATTTTTTACATTTGCATTACATATTCAGTATCAGTCACATTAACTGTATTCTATACGATTTTTGTGTTTTTTTGCAAAAAGATCAGCAAATAATCCTCTAACCTGGCCTTTTTAGGGGGCTTTCCTCTCATGGCGAATGAGAGGATGCTTAATTGCTTTTTAGATATATGATTAATGCATCCATGGCCAGGATATAATTATAAAATATGACATGATTTTAAAAGTGACCTATAACATCGACTGTGCAATACTCTTTAATTTAGTGCTAATACAATTATTAAGCCTATTTGGAGAGAGAGATGTTTATAATGTGACAATATGTCAGTCATTGTGTGATAATGAAAATATGACTAGGCCTAGACTACTTG